GGGATATGGTTGGGAGTCAATGTGGTTCACAAATGTTTGTTGATGAAGATGATGAAATTGAAGAGAGCCCTCAATCTCATTCACATGTAGCACAAGGGAAAAAGAATATTAATTCTTATTTTTCACCAAGGACAACTCTTAGAGGCCAAAAAACTATAAAAAATGATTTGCAATCATGAGAAAAACAAGAAGCTGCTAGGATGGCTATTGCTAGATGGTGGTATAATGCTAATGTGCCTTTCAATGCTACACATTCAAAATACTATTTGATAACGTGGGATGCTATCACACCTATGGGACCTGGTTTCAAGGACCAAGTTACCATGATTTGAGAGGTCCTCTCTTAAAATGTGCAGTAAAAGAGGTTAATGAATGACTTTTATCCTTGAAGTCAACCTGGAGTACTAATGGACAAATCAAAGACAACAACCAATAATCAATGTCCTTGTTTATTGTCCTAGAGGAAGCATATTTTTGAAATCTATTGACACTTCTGGTTTGACAAAGGATGCTAAAACATTGGAAAGGATGTTTGATGAAGTGGTGAAAGAAGTAGGAGTGGAAGATGTTGTACAATTTATAACAGACAATTATGCGTCATTCAAAGCTGTTGGGAAAAGGTTGGAAGCAAAGTACAACACATTTTTCTAGTCTCCTTATGTTGGCCATTGTATTGACTTGATGTTAGAAAATTTTTTCATGCAAGATACTTTCCTATAATTGATACTACTATAGGAAAGGCAAGAAAAGTCACAAAGTTTATATATAATCATTCATGGGTGCTAGCATTGATGAGGAGGGACTACACAAATGGGAGAGATTTGTGTTGTCTTGCTGTTACAACGTTTGCTACCCACTTTTTGAGCATCCAATGTTTATTGAAATTCAAAAAGGAGCTTAGACAAATGTTTACAAGTGATGCATGGGTTGGTTCTAGGTATGCAAAAAGTAGTGTTGGGAAAAAAAGTATGTGAAATTATCTTGGAGGATAGAGGATTTTGGTCTAATTGCATATTGATTGTCAAAATTAGTGAACCTTTGGTGAGAGTGCTTTGACTTGCAAGCAATGAAAAGAAGCTAAGTATGGGCTACTTGTATGAGGCAATAGATAAGGCAAAGAAGACAATAAAAAAGAATTTTAATAATAGGTTGTCTCAATACATGCCTTACATTAAGGTGATTGATGCTAGATAGGATAAGCAATTGTATAGCCCATTACATGCAGCTGGTTGCTTTCTTAATCCAAGTGTCTACTTTAGGCCTAGTTTCAACAAACAAATTGTTGTTACCTTAACAACATTGATACCAGATGAAGAGAAGCAAGATCTCATTAGTTCACAACTTGAGGAGTATAAAAAAGCTATAGGGACCTTTGGCATGAGTTTGGCTATTCATTAGAGAGAAAAGTTAAATCTAGGTAATTTTCTTTCATTTTAGCTCTCTTTTCATTTTATTTAAAAAATTTTTACTTTTATTTATTTTAATGCACATTGTATTTTATTGTTTTTATAGTTACATTGTGGGATCAATTTGGAATGGATACACTAGAATTGCAAAAGTTTGCAATTCAAGTCCTTAGCCCATGCACAAGTGCAACTGGAGTGCTTTTGACTTTATTCATTCTAAGGAGAGGAATAGGCTATAGCATGAAAGGTTGAATGCCCTTGTGTTTGTTTTCTTATAATTTGAAGCTTCGAGAAAGGTATAATCTCTTATAAGTATTATAGTTGCTTTAGTTTCTGCATATAACTTAACTTTCTTTTTTCTTTTTTCTTTTTGCCACCTTTTGACTCATTAATTGATCCTATAAATTTCATTTTTTACTTTTGCATATATTTTATGCACGTTTATGTTTTATACTGAAATCAAACAAGTGTGAATTATGATTTTTGTTTGTTTATATAATTATTTATAGGGGCAAAGAAGCAATGGATCCTCTTAATCTTGAAAATATTGACACATTAGTTGATTGGGTGGCTAAGGAACCAACTCTTCTTGATAAAGATGATTATGATGTGGATTGGGCAACTATTGATGAGTCTTTGCCAAATCAAAACGTTGATGATATTGATAGTGTTGTTTATGATGAGGAAGATGTCCCAGAAGTTCCTGAAAATGAAGAAAATGAACAACTTTGGGTTGTAGTTGGTGGAGTTATAGGTTGTGGAATAATTCCTCCAAATGAGGATCCCTATAATTATGTCCAAGATAATTAGTAATGCTAATTTTGTTGTTTGTTCATAATTGTCCCTTGGCAGAAACAATTGAAGAACCCCTGTGATGAACCTGTTTGGGTATTTGTTTCTATGATTGTAATATGGATGACAATTGCCTTTTTTTTTTTCTAGCTCACATGGGTAACTACTAATTGGTGGAAATTTGATGCAATGTGTTTGAAATATGGAAAGAAGGCTTTTCATCACTGAATTGCTTTTCTAAATTGAAAGGATTTGCTATCATTTGTTTAGTGATTATCATCATCTTACTGTCTTTAACTAAAACATCCAAAGGACCTTTGCTTGGGTTATAATGTGGTTTAGGTTAATAATTAAAGAAAGAAAGAATTGTTACCAAGTTAAATGGTTTTCCCAAATCTTGTCCTACTTTACTTTCTCTTATAATTATTTTAAAATTTGATATTTAATTTATAAAAATATATATTTATAGTGATAAACTTGAAACGATACATGAAAAATTTTGGTATCTAGTACGTATTATTTCAGTAGTAAAACCAGTACGTATGCTGGTATGGTATTAACAACATT